CAATCATTATTAGCATAAAAAGAATAGTGGCAGCCTAAACATCATTACTTTGATGTTCTAAACCAATATTTCCAAATACGAAACGAAATTTCAGATTTGGAAAATTTTTATGAAAATTCATGTCTGTGCGTTACTTAATGTTTTATCAATAGCTCGTTCATTTTTCTATGTATTTGTCTTTTGTATTCACCAAAAGATAGCCCTGGCTTTCAGCTACAAAACCCTCTCTCACAAAATTAATTAACATGGAGTGGTTCACAGGATTTATCATCTTTTCCGCACCAACTCAAAACCGAGAGCCTTTTTTGTCTGTGTGTTACCGACCAATATTTTTCTCATTAAATCCAAACAACTAAACGGTTGAGGCTCAAACTTTCAAGTATTATGGATTTTGTTTACTTACATATTTGTTAACAATTACAAGTCTTTCTGTCTTACCATTCTCTAGATACATTCATTCGAGGCTGAAAAAAACATCTGTGCGTTACCTGCGTTTTGCATGTATAGCTTACAGATATAATTAGCCTTGTGAGCCATACTATCCCTGCATTTGTAGTTTCCAGCAGTCAACTAATATTGGATAGCATTGTAATATTATCGATGATTGGGTGATTTTTTTTGTAGATGCAAACTGGACTTGAATGTTACAAATGTGGAGAGCTAGGCCATATCGCTCGATTTTGCAAAAAAAATATAAGGAATACATATTATGAAAAAACTTCATGTTGGTAAGACGTTTATTGTATATTTTTGTGGCTTATTCAATTGTATTCGAGTAGATTAGCATTTCTTGGATGTTTTTTTTCGCTTTTAGTTATAGATGTCATCGTCCTGGACATTTTGAACGTGACTGTGGCAAATACTTGCCTCAATCTATACAATGCTATCGTTGTCAGAGTTTTGGTCATATTGCACGGAATTGCAGCATGCTATCAGATGGCTCTCAATCTAAAGATACAAAAAATTCCACGCGAAACTACCAATATTCAACACCTTCAAAACAAACTGCATGCCAATCGCTGAATTCATCAGCAGTAGGAGCTGCTCAACAACGTAAGTATTCATGAGTATTTCTGATTTATACAATACTAAGGCATGCGCAAGCCTTCTTTTACAGATGCTTCTCGAACAGCTACGATGTCGTCAGCGAAAATTGTTCAGCATTGTCAAGGCGGCTTAAAAAAACAAAAAGTATGCCACATTTTTTAAGAAATTTTCCAAGTACGATAATACTGAAAGCATAGAAAGAAAGGACAATCTATTATTCTTACCAAAGTCTTCTTCATAAAAATTGACTTTGTGAGGGACTGTGCTTCCATGAAAACTGTAGCTTGCTAATTAAATCGACTTTATTAATTTTTTTTCATAGTGCTCTTTATTGTCTATGGATAAATTGTTTACATGTTCAATTGTATAGTAGAAAAAACGTGTAAAATTTCACGTCGCTTAGAAGTATTTTGATTTTTAGACTGTTGTGACTTTTCTGCATTCAACATCGCATAAAAATAGTGCAACGACAAAGCTAGAAGCACTAGCAAATGAGCTATTGTTCGGTTTATTCGAATATCTCTCCACTGTTCATCTCTTTTGTGCTTTTCATGGTCTCAATGCTCGCATTGATGCATTGCTTGCGGTTCATTGTCGTACTTATTATCTCGACTTTCGTTCTGTATCTAAATCTGATATGCAACTTTTTTGCCGTTGGCATCTTCCGTCGAACATCAATCAAACCGTGTTTCTTTATCTCTCCAATGATGGCCGTGATTTCAAACGAACTGATTTTTTCATATCCTATGGATTGAATCTATGTGAATTCATTAATTTGCGATCATTATCATTGTGTTGTATTCGTTCCGAACCGATAATGAACAGAATGATGACCGAATGGTCCTATCTCCCTCATTTGACTCATATAAAACTAGTCAAGTGTCACTCTGCTTTTGGATCCGCAGATACTACCCGTCTGTCCAATTCTATTTGGAGTTTGCGCAAGCTGACTCATTGCTGTCTGGATACTGAACAATGCGTTTTTTGGACGCCAAGAGTGATCTCATTATCTCTCGAATATGTCGCAATCCAAGGCCATTATTGTCGGTTATATCAACTAGCTGTACTAGCTAAACGGACACCCAACCTTCGAAGCATATGCACACAACATCACGATCTTAATGATAATGATTATCTCTCATCACCTGTTCTATCAATTACTGCTTTCAAACTGCTCAGTATATATTCAAGACCTGTCATGATGAATCTTCTGCAGAACATGCCCAACTTAAAACATTTGACCGTTGAAACATTCTATCTTAACCTGGATGGTTATCAATGGGAAAAAATTATTGTTCAATATTTATCTAAGCTACGAATTTTTCGACTTAAAATGCACATACAATTGACTGGTATCAAGAACAATGAACAACAAATCGATATACTTTTCGATTCATTTCGAAGTCCATTTTGGGTTGAGCAACGTCGATGGTTTGTTAGATGTCATCCGATGCTATATAACGATTATAGTGACATCCTTATCTATACGTTACCTCTAGCATTTGTGAACCTTGACAAAAGTATGATGAGACTTCCATACAAATCGACTTGTCCTTATGATAAAAGTCACTAGCCATTGTATTGGATACATCGGTTCTTCAATAAAGGGTGTGGGTGTGAGTGTGGATTCATTTAATCACACCAACACCCACAACCCACACCCAGACCCACACCCACACTATGATCGTATGGAACGAAAAGAATCCTCATTGGAATAACAATAAAGCACGTAGGCGTCGCTTATTCGTTGAAGAATTAGGGAAAAGTCTAACCGCTCATCTTCTTGATCACTGCTCGAAAACTTCTAAATTTTTACATAAGGATATCCAAAATAGCATTGGCCATTATCGGTTATACTGTCATAAAGTAACCATCAGCAGAATTCAGTGAAAACTTTACATACTCAAAACCTGAACGATGTTCGCTTTGTGATCGTTCTAAAGATAGAAAAGTTCGAAATAAATGTTATCATTGTTCAGAACGGATTTGCGATGAGCACTCTGTTCAGCGAATTTTTGTATTAACTGTTCTAAATAAAGGAAAACTATAATTCTAATAATTACTTTACAAGACTGAAGAGAAAAATAATCTAATTTCGGCAAGAATACTGGTTTAGTAATCAAAATCATAGAATACGAATACATGTTCTCATATTATCTCCAAAAATTAAGTTGGACATCGGAGGATTAAAAAAGAATAGTAAACATTTCAATAGAAATAATTCTGTGAAAGGAAAAAAATATTCTGTTTTTTTTTAATGTTTCTATTTACAATGACACATCGCTTGATTCTTCTATTAATATTATATTTAGATTTCTTACTGATGATAGACGTGTTCGTTAAGCAGCTCTTCCAGTTTTTCTTAAGTGTGTAAATAATAGAGATGTTCAAAAGATAGTTTTAGTTTTTGCAAGACAAACTTTTCAAATTTTGTTGTATGAAGTTGAAACATACGAGAAAATCTGATAGTATTATAATGAATTATTTCTATGAAGAGATTTTTGTAACATTTCAATGCATAAGTCGATTTTTTTTGCAGTAACTTAGTTATTAATCATTTATTGATTTTAAGCCTTTTTGATCACTATTGATTTTTCGAATGTCTAATGGTCAATAGATTATTTATTTAAATTGATTAATTCACCTTGTCAACGGATATATTAAATCTATCATTGATTAGAACAATCAAATACTTTTCTAATAATATCAAATGATAAACTACAATCTGACAACAATTTGACCATTTTTTTTTCATCATCAATATATTGAACTTCGTTTACTTATACGTTTTTTCAAACATCGATTTATATAACATTATCTTAATAATATAAAACTATTACTCAATATATTTAATAGAACCATTAGAAGTGAGGAGAAAAACGAATGTATTCGATTTTTCTCAATCGTTTCTTCTTTTTTTTCAAGATTTGTTCAGATAACGCAAATCATATGAATCATATTCAATCAGCAGAAAAAAAAATTTCCTTTTTTAATCAACTCAAATCATCTTTTTTTTTTTTTGTAAAGAAATATTTATGAAAATGTATTTGTTTACTGAGAATTTTCTCAATATAAGCCGATCAAATAGATAAACATAAAAAATAAATTATTCATCTATTGTTTGATCAGATCAACAAATAAAAAAAGATGTTTTCAAAGTAGCACAAATAATTCGAGTAATTCGAAACATTGAACTAGTTTACCTATAAGGGACTCGAACAAATTTTTTCTTCAATTTTCATTGAATATTTCGATCGAACTATTTCAAAAATATTCACAATTATGATTTTTTTGAGTGGAACATAAATTTCTATAGTGAATTTTTCAGTTTTCACTGCAGAAAAGAAGTTCGATAGTTTTAGATCTGAAGAATATATTTGATCATATATCTAGTTTATCGAAGAATAGTTGACTTTCATATTGAATTTTCAGAAGATCAGAACGAATTCATTTCTTTTTAAAAGAGAATAAAAGGGATTGAAATAACACTGAAGATACAATTCCGATGTAACTGCATCAAGGATTCATCAACAACAATAAATACGGACAAAAATAAGAAAGATAATTGTAGACATTTAAGTACGTTTGGAAATAATTCTTCTACACTGAAATTATTCGAATTAATACTTTTATTATATTAAATACATCAAAGTTTGTTAATTTCATTTGAAAAAAATAATCGCATTCGGATAATTATTTTCGATAAGCTTAATCTCTATGAAATCACTTTTAAGTCTTTTTTTCTATAGAAGATTTATCAAAACATTTTCATGAGACATTTAATTATCTCGAATCAACATTTTATTTTAATTAAATTAAAATAGATCAATGTACACAAGAGTTTATTAGTTTTTTATTGAAAAGTTAATATTTAAAACGTGCCTACGGACAAAACTTTACATGGAACTCGTATAATTAAGGTTTATGGAAAGTTCTTAGCTAGAGAAAGAAAATTTCAATATAAGAATGTCATAATAAGAGAAATATTCATTTTGTGAATCTCAACAGTCTTAACGAGAATAATTTCTAGTATAAATGTGTCAAATATTTTGATTTGCTTTTAATTTTATATCCGATTATTGAATCAGCTGGCTTACGCGAGTGATTGGCAAGGCACGCTGCTATCAATATTCTATTGTAGGATAGAAACAGACAACAACTTTTAAGCATTGACAAAAGCTTATCTCTATGGAAATGTGTTTCTATTGACAGTTTAAAAATAATCGTTTCTCTTAATAGAACATTCTTTTAAAAATATTCTTTTTATTTAGGTTTTCTTAAATCTTCATCAACTTGCAATCGTTTCATCATTTGTTAAATGTTTCTTGACAAGTATCATTCAACAATTCTTTTACTTTTATTCACAGAATAAATATTCAACAACCGATCATTTATCTATTTTGTTTACGTAACCTATCAACTAGAAATAGTTATACGAAACTAAAGTAAACAAACGAATCCAATCGATTCTCTTTTTCTTTCTATTTCATATGTTTTTATTTAACTAAAGGTTAGTATTTAAAAAAAAATAGTCATACAAATAGAATTTGATTTACAAGTTGCTTTAATCGATTTGTTTAATTACTATTCATTTCTATTATTAGAGTTTGTTAAATGATCATCAATTTAATTCTATTTCGAATCTTTCATGTATTTCGAAATAGGATTTTCTCACTCATACAATCAATTTGTTTTAAATAAATAAATAAACTATATCAGAATACGTCGTTTCATCACATTTTACTTATCGTATTGTTTAATTTCTTCTTATTTTACAACATCATAGATTTTATTGAAAACAAGTTATTTTAGTATCACATTTAATAAAATATTTTCATTCATTATTAATAATTCTTTGTTTAGCTTCAACAGCAGCAAAATCGATTGTTTAAGATTTATTTTATGTCCGATTTGAAATAAATAAAATAGAATTTGAAGCACAACAAATACTTATTATTCAAACATTACTTAAACTTCTTCGATAAAATCGAGTAATATTAGATTATAAGAAAAAGTTGCTTTACAATAAATAAAAATTCTTTAAAAGCATTATTAAACAGTGGTGAATACAGCATATCCTTCTATAAGTTTTCAGATATCATAGAAAGTCAATATGAGAAAATTAGTTAAATCGACAAGACCACTTTTCTCATTGAAATTTATCTTATTGAAGAGAAAAAGATTTATAGATCAGTCGGTAAGCTTATTTATACTATTAATTTTATCATAGCAATTCGAATTCAATAATTCTTCAAAAATCAATTATTTAAAAATAATTACCATACTGGTGTGCACAACTCAAGAAATTTTAGAGACAATACTCTTCACTCATATTATTGATGAAAGATATCACAAGAAAAATTTTCAAGTAAACTAGCCATCTTAATTATTCTAAAGTTTATTATATTTCTACTGAAAAAAAAAAGTAATAGCATTAATATTGTTAAGATTTACAATTGTTAACATTTATTTTTAATAATGTTCGATATGAAGATGAGAAATAGAAAGGTCTTTTACGACAAATTGTCGGTGTACTTATTTTCAATTTACAATCACATTTTACTCTTGCTTTATCTAAGAATTTTTTTTTCAATTATCTCGAATTTGACGTTACTTTGTTCTTCAAATAGGATCAATTTGTTTAGATAGGAATTCTGCAAAAAATAACACAACCTGTTTTTGTGTCATCAGTTCAATGACAACCAATCGATCCATTTTTTTTGGATTTTCGAGCAATCGCAAATAGAAATATTCTGTGTTTTTCTTTATGAAAAAAATTTGCTTCTAATTTAAAATTTTCCTATTAGGATGTCAATTATAAAACTATAAAACGATAGTTAAAAAAATCTAAATATAATTATTCAATGTATGATAGAATATTCAATGAACGATCCTATATTAGCTAGATTGAATAACAATTTACCATCAGTTAATCGAACACGAGATGAAACTTTTTCTGATTAAGGATTTCAAATGATTTTATTTATAATGTTAAAAACTATTATTTTCATTTTTTCTTTTGCCTTCAGAGCTCATATTCGTATTTGACATTATATAGTTTTACGAATTTCAACTTATACTGGACAACTGTCTGGTCAAATCAAAATGACAACTATTTATTTATGGATATTATGGAACAATGATAATCAATAAAACTAATAGTGTATTTCTAAACACTAATATTATAGTTAACCAATAGAAATATCATATAGAGCTACGAATAAGGATGTAAAAGGTTTTCGACGGAATGATTCATTTAGAAATTTCGATTTCGAACGTTAACGATGAAAACTATCCGAATAGATAAAAACTGATAACTAGCCATAGAAATAAGATGGTTTCTATTTGGTCTAATGTGAAAAGAATGTTGAGCTTTGACTATAGTTTATTCTCAGTGAGATCCATCTTTATGGAAATTTTCAAACTTTCTCTCAATATTCTTCAGCTAGTTATTGGATTTATCCTTTATGATTGTCTCATATAAATCATTTATTTGAGATGAAACTTCTTATCGTTTTATTATATCTTTTATTTTATTTTAGATAAACAATTTCGAAGAATTTTAAATTATTTACCTTACTTATTCATTTATGATGAAATTTTACATTGTCTTGACACATTTTCATATATAATCAAATAAAGTTAATACTTTTAATTATTATTATCATTTATGTATGATTATTATTAGATTGAAGACATATTCTCAATATGCTTTGTGATAGACAACAAGCATGATGATCATCAATATTAAACCTAACATTGTTACTAATATATAAATACGTTATTAATTACAATCTTAAATCTTATTTAATATATATCATTATGAATTATATGTTGAATATATAACATGAATAATAACACATGATTAATTTGTATTTACAGCTATTTTTTGAAAAAGTCATACAAATACATTATTTATTTGCTCTTATAGATCGTAGATCAGTTACGAGTCATTTTTTTTTGTTAAATCAACATGTACTAATTCCGAGAATTTATTAGAACGAAATAAATTCTTATTATTATCATTAAAAATTCTTTGTAGACTTAAAGGAATAAATTGAGATGAAAATGATATTTTATTTGTTTTATTACTTGAATAATATCTTATATAAGTATATGTCTATGAATTATATTTATTCGAATAAATTGTTTGTCATCGTATTGAGATGATTTCAACACTTAATAAACAAATATTAAATAAACAATTCTTAACGAAATATTTACTTTCAATGTTCTAACTATTATCAATAAAAAAAAATTGATCAGTCCTATTAAAAAAGATTTTAATAATCTTAATTGTCATACTGCACATTTTCTACTTCACTTTATAAAAGATAAGTTTATTCTCCTACTGACATAACATTAGAAATCGACAGGTACATGCTTGAAAATCTAACTTAAACAATAAATACCATTCATTATGTCAAAGATATGTTTGAAACTTAATTTATCGAAATAAATATTTCTATTTCTAATAAAAATTTTAATCGAATTAAAAGAAAATGTTTGTTTTAGTTGGACATTGTTTATGTTTTAATAATAGATGAGATTTTTTAATAATTGAAAACTTCGAGAAATATTTTTAAATATAAAACTAGTTGTGCTACTCTAGTTACATATAGAAAATAAGGAGTATTAATAATCATTTCTTTATTAATATGCAAACGAAAAATAAAATATATATCGTATAGGAACTAAATAGCTCTCTGTTGTTAAAATCTAGATAAAATAAACATCTGGTGACGGCAATCTACTTTTTCATATAGTATGTCCTTTTATTTAATATTAATTTATGATTATCTTCATCGATATATTTTCTTTCTATTGATATTTCTTAAGGAACATGAAATCATTGTGTTTCAATAGAAGGTACGACAGAGTAATATAATGTGTTTGAATAGGTTTTTTTAATCACGTTTGAGTAGAGAACAAACTGAAAAATAGAGAACTTCCTACAAATTTTATTGATATGTTGTTTACAAAACAGAAAGACATGTTGCTAAAGCTTCTTATTTACAACACAAGGAGTTTCATCATATTCCATATTGTAACCATCATAGAATTGCATCAGACGCTTTTTCTTAAGCGCAGTTACTAAAAATTTACTTCACACTACACCGGTTTCGACAATCTCTCTCATTTTTAGTGAGTAAAATCTTTACTTATATGATAAAAAGGAAACTTTCTAAATTCTGGAAATTCATGGAATATTAAACAGCTATGAAAAGAACCAAGACAATTGAAATTTACAATATTTATTAAACAATTCAATTTTACATTGTAAAAAACAACAAAATATATTATTCAATAATATTTAATTGTATGTAGTCAAACAAAATATTGCCATAACCATAGTATAAATTAATTCGAAATCCAAAATAAATATCCGATAATTCGAATATTTTTATTTTACCCATCGTTTCATTAAACCAATTAGTATTACCATGTAATAAATAGTTTGATTCAAACCAATCAAAATTCATTTTTTTCCCATCGCATTCACAATCAAGACCATGATCAGCTAATGCATAAAAATAACCTTCCACATTTTTTTCTACTGCATGATTTCTACTACAACGTTCATTATAATATGTGAAATATTCATTGGTCTTATTCAATTTAATACGACATATAATTTCATAGATTCCAGGTAATATTGATTTAAATTTTCCTTTTATACCAGCTAGATACATCGATCGAAATGAATATAAGCGGACACATCGACCTGTTAAACTATTTGAATCATATACATGATTGAGATATTTTTGGACGGGACAATGTATATGATTTCGTGTACAAGATAGATCTATTACAAATAAATCAACACCTAATAAACGTTTAGATTCAATTAAATAAAAATAAATTAATTTATACATTGATATTTGTAGAATATTTTCTTTATTTAAATATTTATTTTTATTGAAATAAGATTCAAATAATTCTTCAATTGTTAATGACATTTTTAATTCATTTGTGCGTGGACGTTGTTTTTGTTTAACTATACTTTTATGAGCTATATAACCATCACTATTATCTTTACTATTTAATACATTCAATAACCAAATATTACACATTTGGAACTCTAAATATCTTCGAAAATATTTTTCAAATTTTCGTATATCTTTTTCTGTACGATATAAAACATAATTGGAATTTTTCTTGTTTTGAAATATTTCATTAACATAACGTTGATATAATTTCGATCCAAAATGATTTTGAATTAATATCATCCAAAAATAATTATCTTTTTCGATTAAAATATATAATTGTTTGCATGTTTTTGATAAGTTTATAATATCAATGAAAGATAAATATTTACATATATTATATAAAACATGATGTGGAAGATCATTTATATACATTTTTATCTGAAAAGAAAAATATAATAAATTTTGATAAATGATCTCAAATATGAAAAAGAAAATGAAAGCGAGAATCAAAAATTATTCGACGATAATACGCTGGACTATGTAACGATTTTCACCGTTACACTTCACTGCCCTTCTCTTCTTTTCTTTATATAACTTCTTCCTTAATGTGTTGACTTTGACCATATATCTCTCTCTTCCTCTTCTCTTTCTCTTTTCTTATGTGACAACTATATAAGAGTGTGTTCGTAGCAGAGATGGGCAAGTCAGCTATTTTTTTTCACTCAAGTCAAGCCAAGTCAGTGCTCGAAAAAAATATATTTTCAAGTCAAGTCGAGTCATCAATTTGAGATACGCCATTGCAAGTCAAGTCAAGTCAAGTCTCAAGTCATTGACTTGAATGTTTTTTTAAATTTCATAATTTAGTTATGTATCAATTTATTGAAAAAAATTTTATATAAGTCCCTGATACATTGACCCGACCAATTTGATTCATAAGTTTTTATATTTACATAAAATTTATCTCGTATTGTTTTTGGCATACTACCAGTAGTTTGGGATGTTGTTTCAGTTGAATCAGTCAATGTAAGGAAAGTACTGGAACAGTTGATAATACACACACATCTGGAAAATCATGTGAAAGATGACTATCAACTTGTCAAATTAAATCACTCATATTCAGTTGTAGTACAAGTTGTAATTGATCTAACCAGTTTAATACAATAGGTCACGTATAATTGCTTATATACTTGCGAATGTCGATGTCAGACAGTGTCTTTTGTAAGACCAAACAGACTAGACGAATAAAACAATGAATTAAGAATTCTTTAATTCATTGTTTTATTCGTCTAGTCTGTTTGGGACGTTATTTGATACGCACGGGTCAAATATAACCTGACAAGAATCTAAAATGCATTGAAGTTGCAAAGAATATATGACTTGACTTGTATTTTTTGTCCAGTCACAAGTCAAGTCACGTCAAGTCATGAGTCACAATAAAATTTTCTTTGACAAGTCAAAGACAAGTCGCAAGTCATTAAAAAAAATTTTCAAGTCAAGTCAAGCAAGTCAAAAATGACTTGACTTGACTTGCCCATCTCTGGTTCTTAATGATATAGATACAACTGGATTGATGAAGTAGCTCAATAAACATCATTGTCGAGGGTAGCGATAGCGCTACATCTCCAATTTGTCATAGACTATATTCAAGAAAGAACAGACAAGAATGATAAAGTTTTAGTCGTATTTATTTAACTTTTGGTACTAATGATCCACTTCAATCTTCTAATCTATAAGTATCTATGAGAAAATAATCTTTTTAGTATCTATTCTTTCAATGCCTTATTTGCATGAGATCAAATATTTAATTAATCAATTCAGCATTACTATATAACTGATGAATTATTAGTTGTAAAAGGACTAGTTTCTTTCGAACGAAATCGGAACTGCTCAAGTGTCTATAATGTGTTCATGTATGAGAAACGAATGGTGTTTATTAGTTGACCTAATTTCGATTGACGAAGTCATGAAATCTGTCTATTAATAGAACATAACACAGTTAAATTATGCTAGAAGCGGCAACATTTACTTTCATTATCCACTGAATACTCGAATTCATCTGATCCTTATTCCTTTTATTTGATGACAAATTAATATCCAAATGTATAGAAAATTTTCCAAAAAATAACTCCAAAGTTGTTAATAAAAAAAACGAATAAGTATCTGCATTGTTTTACTATCAAACGAAAAAAGAAATAACTGTTCTTTTTTATATCATCATGTGATTGAATTTGTATTGCTAAATCTAAGAAACATTGTTTCAATCATCGTCATTATCTTCCTTTGGATTATTATCATCATCCTTTGGATCATCATTCTTTCAAACTTCGCCTAAATTCGATCAGATTACAACCTCGAAGATCTAAAGAGGATTCCTAGTTCTCGGCTCTTATAGAATCCAATGAATACCATGGAATCGCGCTGAATTTCATAGCATCCAAGAACAAGAATAATTAACCACGAAAATTCAAACGAACCATTTCAACACAAATAGCAGTGACTAAAACACTTTATAAATTTATATACCTAACTGTAATTGAAAAGTAATACTTTTCATCATTCCACTGAACCGTAAATTTTCCAATTCAAGGTAACCAAAGTCAGTTTTCAATCTGGCTAGTTTATCTAACTTTCCTTTAAAAACTTAAAGAAAACGAATAACATTCTTGATAATTTTCGTAATTCTAGGTAATTTTCATTTCTCAGTTCTACAGAAAACTGAATTTGCTCCTGATAATTTCCAGAACTTCGCGTAACCACTATTTCTTAACTATGGGACATTATTTCGACTGTTTAGAATCTCGATAATGGTGGGGTGTGGGTGTGAGGCGTGGATGTAGGTGTGGATGTGAGTAAAAAGAGTTTCTATCCCATACCCACACCCCACCCATACCCACACACCCACACCCCATACCCACTCCACCCCTATTATAGTTTGATCAGCGACATAGGTCCAATCACCAACACTTGCATTGACTGGAGTAGTAAAAATGAATAGCCGTGAATCTGTTGAATTCGATATTGATGAAGCAGGCATCCCAGTTCCATGAGCTGTAAATGGCTGGTTATTTCTGCTAAATTCAACAAGTGTATCATCGCCAATATTCACTGGTTCAGTCGAATTTATTGCTTTAGTTATTAATGCACTTGAACTAACCACTTCTGTGCTAAGTAAATAAACTTTATGAATAGTTTTTCCATCATAACCAATGAAATGACATTTACTATCTGATAGAAACATATCTTCTCTAGTGTCTATAAATTGCATACAGTCAGCATTTGTACTCAACCAGTGTCCATTCCGTATTTTAGCATGAAAATCAATAATATTCAATCATGTAATTCAAAATGTAAATAAACCCACAAATCAAGAGGTGTGTAGTGTAATTGATTGAATAGTCAAATCAGATATATACTTGAGTTCAGTAGTATGATTTAGAAAGTAATAAATGGCAACAAATCGGTCTCCTATGACAAACTGATATCATGCACGTATAGGTATGCGAAGGATACCGATAGAAATGAGACTGGTGCTGACATTGGATGGTGATGTTTGAAAAATTTGATAAACTTTGGAACCAAATGCTGGTCTTATTTCAAATTGGATCAAAGCGAAAAATCGAGTAAACTTGGCGATGAATATATCAGTTCGATGAGGTGATTTAACTCGAACATCAAGATATGAATTACTAATATTAACAACATAATCAGCTGTGAATGGAAATGAATCAAAATCTATCGATAATGAACTAATTTTTAATCCATTACAATATTGAGCAACAACTATTGATATGGGTCTACTTCCCACTAATAATGTTTGATCCATTCCTTCACCTGTTATTCTTAAATTGGTTGCATTATATATGTGAAATATTGAGGATCAATTATATGTACCATAGCGGCGTAACAAGAGTTTTGGCGATGGTAGGGCTCAGCAACGCTTAAATATCCGGTGGTAGGGCTGAGCCCTCCCTTGGTTACGCTACTAGTCGTAGTAGAAATTAAAATTCTAATTTCTACCATAGAAGAATTTTAAATTCTACTAAAAACTTAAACTATAGAAGTATGTGAAGTTTTCCTGTAATAGAAGATAAAATTAACCCTTGTGATCACTGGATTATTTGATTTAATGCCATAAACAACTTGTAATTCGTCAATAATAAATAATTTAAAGTGTTTATGGACCCAGAATTTAAACAGCTTCACCCCAACTCCCTTTTATTACCAATATGATTTCATTATAAACAGCTTGTGTGATAACAAACTTTGAATGAAATCTTTCTCGCTTAAAGATTCTATATGTTTATCAAGTTTCGAATAAAATAGTCCCATTTTATGTAATATTCAAAATCATTATTCTTCTTTTCGTTCTACATATTGCATCATTCGAATAAGGGTTAATTTTATTTTCTATTTTAGGAGAAATTCACATACTTCTATAGTAGAAATTACAATTTAAATTTCTACTACAACATATATATGTTTATTCATGTAGTTTAATATCAATAAATAAAATAATTCGAGATTCAAAGTTTAATCTTTTACTTCATATATGAAAATACAAATAACTATATCAAACAAGTTATATATTGTTGTTCATCACAAAAAAACATTATTCATTTAACTATTTATGTATAGTTTGACAATAGAAATCTTTTTTTTTTTTCAACTTTTCTTTTTTTCCTAAATATTTTAATAATTTCAATATCTAATGCATTTGTATAATTTATCTTTTATTCGATAAATAAATATCTAAAATAAAAATTATTGAGTTAAGTTTTCTTTTTTGTTTGAACAAAAATTCAAAATATCAATCAAACCTTGATTTGTTTCATTGACTAAGATACAATTTTTTAATTCATTAGGTAAACCACATGGATCAATCAAAAAATCTGTTACATATATTGAAAATTTTTTTGTTATTATTTGTAATGATTGATTAGAATTAATTAGTTTATTTGAATTTTGATGTTTTTGTTTTTGTCGTTTTTTCTTCATTATTTTTGATTATAATCTTTCACAAACAATCAATCTATAACTAAATAACAAAAAATTCTATTTATTGTAAAAGGCATTAAATATTATATAATGGCAGTAAAACCAATAAGAATTGTTGATGAGTCATTTCTTTTTTTACAACATTTTATAGTTTTTTTTATCATTAGATAAAAAAATATGGCACAAGAACAGTTAACAAAACAACGTTTAATTTATTCTATATTAAAATTTCTCGATAGAGAAATACAAAATGAATATGAAAATATTGAAAGACGAGAGAGTATCGAAGGTAGATTTAATATTAATATTTGATGAATAAAATAAAATATTTATTTCCTAGTTGCTGTTCAATGTCTTGAAGCATCATTTAATGTATCTCTTGCTAATCCACAAAATGATACAATTTATGGTCCATATATAGATCTTCTATCAATTGTATCTAATAAATCGGTAATAAAAAAAAGTTTTTATTAAAACTAAAAACAAACTATTTTATAAAATGTTCATCTTTAATTTTCTTGTTCTTTTTTTTTCTAGTCAACGAATAAATTATTAACAGATGATATGAGACAGCAAGCAGATAGATTTAAAAATCAAGGAAATGAATTTATTAAACAAGAAAAATATAAAGAAGCTCTTGAAGCATATAATGCAGCTATACAAATTGATGCTAATAATGCTATTTATTATTGTAATCGGTTAGTTTGATTTAAAAAGAAAAAAAAAAAGAAATCAACGTCTACTATAGAATACTAAACTAAAAAGGAAAGCATTCGAAATCTTTATTTCCGTTTTAATTCAATCAGACATTCATTCAATAGATTATATTCAAATAAGACAAAGCCTTTAAAACATTCCGCATAGTGACGGCGCAATAGAAGGACAAGGGATAGTAGGGTTCCCATCGAAAATTTTAAACTTGTTCCTAACAATTATTTGTATTTGAAACATGGATTTGCTTTTGAATCAAACCCATATAAATAGTTTATAGTTCAGTGACTGTAATTGAAACACAAGCTATTCAGATTGTTTCTTGATAAGATATTTTTCTGGTTACACAATACCTATAGTAAAGTAAATCGTTGTAGGCGTTTCCCATAGAAAGAGTTTTGAGTGTTTGACTGTCATTTTTATTGAGAGATGAACATTGCCGGCAAAAGAAAATGTACATACTTATTTTTCGAGATATTTCATTTTCGAAAAAAAAACAGCAATTTACCACCGCAAGACATAATAATCCAATCTATTATATCAACAAAGACATGTATTTTGGGTTTAAACTGTTAGAATTATCTAACAACTATCAAATATATTTACAGATAAAATTTCAGATCAATAATCTTTATTTTAAATTTTTCCGTAGTGAGAAACTCTTCATCAGAAGGTTATGTGTCAGATTTCTTTAAGATTTGATCTAACCTATTATTAGGCTCCGCATAAACATTACTTAAAAGCAACTAATCAGTTGGAACAATTTCCTTGTTAATTTATTATAAAACAAACACCATCGTACTCTGTATTTATTTTTATGTTCTCTAGAATAAAGTTTATATAACGAAATACTATATCTTTTTAATAGGGCTGCTGCTCATAATAAATTAGGTAACAATGATCAAGCATTAAGTGATTGTTTTCGTTCCATTGAAATCGATTCAAATTATAGTAAAGTCTATGGAAGACTTGGGTATGTTTTCATTAGTTTTTTTTCCGTACAAAACAATTGACAAAGTTTTTTTTTTTGTTTTTAATATAAAGTGCCATATATCTATCAGTGGATAAAGTACATGAAGCACTTGATGCCTATAAAAAAGCTCATACAATTGATCCTAATAATGAGAATTATAAACAATCGATACGACATTGTGAAGAAAGATTAAATGAAACTGGAACTAATACTAATTCAACTAATGTAAGTTTATACTCGATTATAAATTTTTCATAGAACATTTATTTCTATCAAGCCTTCCAATCTAACATCCATGTTTGGTTCATTATTGGGTGGTGCAAGTGGTGGTGGACCTAATATGACGTCATTTCTTAATAATCCTGCTTTAATGAATATGGTTTGTTAGATTGATTGTATCGAAATAGAAATAAAATTTTGTTATTAGGCAACACAATTTGTACAAAATCCACAAGTTCAAGGATTGTATGATCATTATTTTCCTTTTTTTTTTTGTTATATTCAAATTATTATTGATATATTATTTTTATAGAATGGCTAATTTAGTAACAAATTTAACTGGACAAGAAGGTGGTCAAGCCGGTTTAGATAATTTATTACAAGCGTAATGTCAAAAACGAAAAAAAAAAATTGATTTGATATAATAAATTTCATTTTATAGAGGTCAACGTATGGCAAGTGAATTATCAACTAATAATCCAAATCTAGTTGAATCTATTCGACGTCATATGAATAATCCATCTCAATCAAATACAAATAATAATTCAACATCAAGTTAGTGACAAAAACATTTATTTTATTAAATATTCTTATTATTATTTTTTGTCTAGATTCTAATAATGAAGCAAATCAAAATAGACCACCATCATAAGACATTATTTTATCTTTCTTTCTTTTCTTTTTTTAAATAAAATATTGATTATAGAAAAAAGAAAATTTTGTTTTATGTTAATTTACCATAATATGCCATTGTAGCAACACCACACATATTGTTAGCATCTTTAACTAAACGTAAATAACCATTTTCACCCCATTTTACTCCCCAAGAATTTTTAATTATCCAATAAGGTAGTTTTAATGCATCATCATAACCATAACCTACAATAGTCATAGCATGATCCATATCTTGTGCACGTTTTGGACAATTATCTATTGTAAGTATACCATTTTTATAAAACATAAAAAGTTTAGAATCAGCATCAATACCAATAAATATTGGTCCATTATTAACAAGTACTTCAGCCATTTTTTTTTCATCACCTAAAGGTATTGATATATATTCAACTTTACCAAGATCAATTTCATTAATACCACTTGTTCGACATGATTGTTTTTTTTCTACATATGGATAAGAAGCATCTGTTGCTATTTTACCACCTTTTCCTGATAAATAACGAACACTTGGTGGAAAGTGACCACCACTACAACCATTATTTCCATTACTTGAACAATCAGTTATTTGTTGTGCACTAAAATCAATTACTTTTTCTGATTTTATTTTAAGTGCATAAAGTGTTTCCATAACAGCAGCCGTAGCAAATGCATAACAAGCTCCACAATCACCTTGATTTTTAATACTACTAACAAGATTTTTTTCACGCCAATCAAATACATTTGTTTGTTGACCAGGATTAGTATTATTTTTATTAAAAAATTTATCAAACCAATCACGCCAAAATCGTCTATCTTTATGTTGACGGTTTTGTAAATTTCGTTTTAATCTTCTTACATGATAATGACGTTGATAAAGTTTTTCTAAACTACGTTGTAATGCATTTTCATTTGGTTCATCATCCATTATGATATCTCGTCGTAAATTAGCTTGAACATTTAAACCTTTTTTTAATGCATTAAATTCTGCTAATGTCCAATCAGAGAATTCATTTAATTCTAATTGAAATGTACGTAATTTTTGAAGATTTGATTCTAATACATATTTAAGATGATCACGAAATATATGAAGACGTGCTTTTTCTTCTTCTTCAATAAGAAAAAACAAAAAAAACAAAAAAAAATGTTTTTTTCATTAAAATCAAACAATATTTTATTTTTATAAACTAACCATTTGATGAATAAAGACGGTGATATTTTGCTTTAAAAAAAGACCAAATTTGACGAATAGATGAATCATTAAGACTTAATATTCCTTGAAATTTAAATTTAGCAGCATCAATAAAACTATCAACATAATCTTGAAGAGATCTACGTGCAAGAAGTTCTTCATTAGATGTAGATAAATCAATCAAAACAATAACTGTAAATAATATTACATATAACTTCATAGTTGGATTTTGATATACACACACACACACCAAAGAAATGGAATAAAATACTATTTATTTTCTCTTTATATGAATATATATATTCAAGGTGCAGATTGTTTTTTGCTTAATTCGATACATACAAGAATAAATCATCTAATGTCTTTCATATTTACTATATATGATTAATCAAGCAAGAAAAAAAGAGAGTATGTATTAAATACCGAAATTTGTATAATGCATATTGAATAAGATTATTCATACTTTGTCAATTGAAGGCATAAGTATTTCAATCGAGGCATCAACAAGGATGAATAACTATTACTTTAGTACTAAATATGCAAAAAAAGTAAGATTTACAAAATGAATATTATTCATCGATAGTGTAATTTAGTTATTATGAATGAGGTATATTATAAAATAATAATTGTATTTTTTGTTTCTATTCATGAAAATATTATGGTTTATACAGCGGACATTTTTGTTTTTTTAGAAACGTATTATTAATGCCTTGGGCACCGTATTCTAACGTAGGTAAAACTATTTTGAGTTTTATTAAGCTTCTCTATAAGAGGCTATATATGTGATGACGGTTTTGGAAGTTATTCAATGAAACAAGACTCAAAAGAAACTCATTTAGCAACCTGAAATTTTATATGAACCTTCATTGTATATGTTTAATGGCTTTTTAGTCGAAAAATTATGTCAGATTGTAATGCTTGACACAGTCCTTTGTTCTGAATTTGTACTTTTTTAATGTAGAGTAAAAGCATGATAAATTTAATCTAACTTTCAAAAATAGGTAGTGCAACTTCACATGTTCGTTAAAACAAACAAGAAGAACAATTGACTACAATGAAATTCTGTCGAGAATTCTAGGATGCACAATCAAAACAAAAAAAAACGAAAAAGATTTTTTTTCGTTTTCTACTGAAAAACAAAAAATCATATTTATATGGCTCTCAAATAAACATATAACGTATTTGAGAAATGTTCTTTTTCATTCAATTTTTCAGACTGTTAGTTATAAAACGTCGATGAAGTACTTGTGCGAAATATAGCATGATACTGCAAAAAAATAAAGAAGAAATCTATTGATGATTCTTTTCAATTTGCTTTTGCATTTTCATTTTAAATGATTTATTTATCGTATCAAACTTATACAAACCTAAAATTCAATGTATGCATATTTAACAAAAGAAATAATTCCCTAATTAATCTAACTATTTCAAAAAGCTATAGAATACGACTGAAGAGAACATCCATATTTCACATATCAATTTTTCATTCATTATCTTTACTAGAAAAATGATAATATTGTTCAGTAATAGACTAAAAAAATGTTTGTTTTATATTCTAATAAATGATAATCATATTGCCATATGTACTGAAAAGATCAAAGATTTAGTAGAATAAAAAAAGGTTTAAGGTGATTTTCAACTTGATACTTTGTATTAAATATATTAATTAAACTTGATTTTTTTTCTCAATATGTAATGTAGTCACATGTTTTACTATGAAATATATCAAAGCGTGTTGAAATCGGTTAACCATACAGAAGCAAATTGTTGAAACTAAAGATAGGAGATGAGCGATAGAAACCAACGAGCTCTAGTCGTCTAAGACATGTGTAGAGTGTGCATGTAACCAAATACGAAAAATTAGAAAAAAAAAGTATATTCTATCTTCGGAATAACCATCCAATTCCAATTAGAAAATTTCCTTGACTCATCCAACAATCCAAAACAACTGCTATTCAATATTGTGTAAATAATCTTGGTTAACGATAGAGTTCGGCAATTCCCAAAATTATCTGCGAGCGCACATCCGAATACGGAAAATGGAAAAAAAAATAGTTTCCAAAATACCAAGTAAGAACGAAAAAACTGAAGACTTTTCGGTGTAGATTTAAGAATTTTTGCATTTATCTGATGATTTTGCGGTTTCGGCTTATTTACAATGTTAGTAATAATGTATAAAAAAAGCATCTTGTTAATTCAAGTTTTTGACATTTTCCTATTCGACCTTTGAATAGCACATCTCAAAAACCTGTCTGTTTCTTTTCATGCACGATTGTTCTTTCTCTTTATTATATTTTCTTTTTCAAAAGTATGCTTTCAATATACGAATTTATTGTGTAGAGATACCAAATAAAGTGAACTACTTTGCCTCGCTCAAAATGAACACAATGCAGTAGAAAAAGAAAGAAGAAATGTAAGATGAAAGAATATTTCTGATTAAAAATACGATCCACTGACAGGTACATAACATGACTTCTAATATTGGGAAAAATAAAAGTACTTGATAAAGATCATAATTATGTTAATTATGCTATTCACGAACATCATCAATTGAGAAAAATAGATAAACAATGATCAAATATTAATGTTCATTATATATGCAATTCATTAATGTTATTTTTCTTTTTTTTAATCTTATTTAAGTGAAAAAACTTTATGATATAATATCATATATAAGTTTAAGATATTTTCTTATAATTAAAAAGAAAAACAAAACATGAGTCATTCGAAAATCAATAATTATTTTTTATGTTATTGTATGTCAATACCAATAAAAATTATATCAGAATATTGATTCTAATTGAAAAATCAGAATTATCATTTAAGTTAAAGTTAACTTATTGTAAAGATATCTATAATGATATAAAAATAAGTTTGTCAGTCTATATTCTATGGATTCAATGGAATGATCAATGTTTATTCTAATGGAATTTAGAATCTTTGATCTCATTGAAATTTATTAAATCTTATATATAATAAATCGATTATTCTGAATATTTTTAGTTTCTTTTTTTTAATCAAAACATCACCATATTAATATGTCGAATAAAAGAATTATTCAAATGAATCAATTGTTTAATTTATATTAATAATGGAAAAATCTTCAAAAATGATTATCATATAGTTCGAGTCTGTTTTACATATGAAAAATGTCTAAATCCAAAAAGTATGTCAGACATAGACGACATTCAACAACAAAAAAAAA